CCTCGGTCCTGCACAGATGTGATTATCTCTGCTGGCCAACATGTTGATAAGACATCATTGACTTCAGATAACCTATTACTCTGCATGCCCTGCTTTTGTTATGTGTCAGTTTATTGCAAAGACGTCATAGAAGGATAAAAGGAGGATAAAAGAAGAGGCATCCACTCATGCTGATGCTGCATTTGTGTCACATGGGATGGTGCTCATTAAAAATAATAGAAATATTATAGATTCTATGTGAGGAAATTAGATTGTCATGTGTTTATTTGAGCTTGTTGTTTGACAGATCGCCATGGTTACATTTGGTGACTGGCTGACCATCAGTGACTCCAAAAACAGACTCATTGCATCGACCACTATGTTTATGGGAAGTATTCCTCTTTCTTATTTTAGCACCACACAGAATGCAATTTAACACTTAATTACTGCAACACTGACCGAATAATAACAGATGAGTGATTAGAGCCACTAAATGAAATTTTTCCCACCCGTGTGACACAAATTCAGCAGAAATAAGGAGGAGGAGCCTGGGCAGAAAGAAGGCAGAGCTTGCAGGTGTCACGGTTACGTCAGCTCGGTCCAACTATAGGCCACGAAGAGCAGAACAAGGCAGAGGATGTGAACTAAGCTCGAACCAATAAGGTCCCAGATCTGCCAGGCAGGAGGCGGAGTTTGAGTGGTTACAGAAACTAATAAGGGAGTCTCTGATGCCCCAGGGGAAGTGGGGTTTGCAGCTGAGATTGCCTCCTCCCGTTTCCTGTCTGGATCCAAGGCAACCAGCGCCCGAACCGTGGTGCGAACCGGCTGCAGGCGGCACTGGATGATGTCATAAGGTGAGCAGAGGGACGACTGTTGCCCCCATTAGGAAGAAAGGAGGGAAGAAATGAGGAAGTGAATGAGGAAGGAGGAAAAATAGTAGGAGAAGTTGGAAGAGAAGGAATGAAGGGAGCAAAGATGGGAAAGATGAAGTAGGACAGAGAAGAAAGAGAAATATAGGGCAATAAAATGGAATGTGTGATGAAACAAATGAGAGAATATGATGGAAAGGTAAAAGACACGAGGAAGAAAAAAGGCAACAAGTGAAGGAAAACATAAGTGTGTAGATAAAAAAAATGGATTGAAGTTTGAGAAATGAGAAAAAGGTTAAATATTCTCCACAAAAAGCAAGAAGGTTGATGAGAAGAAGAAGACAAGGGAAAGGAGGAGGGATACGTGGTGCGATCCAGCCGGAAAGTAAAAAAGAGAAAAGGCAGAAGGTTAACCAATGGATACAGAGGTCAAAGGTCACAGAGTGAAGGAGCTGGTGGTGAGGCAAGCAGGGGAAGGAGGGATGCTTACTGAGAGGATGGCTCAGAACCTCTGCAGAACCCTTTGTCCTCCCAGTAAGCAGTCCAGTGATGAAGAGGTGAGGTGGCTAATGGGAGAGCCAGTGCAGCAGGCCAGCGCATTAGCATAGAAGCTGTTAGCACGTAAGCGCAGGGAAGCTTTGCAGAAGCGTTGCTAGTAAAGCAGTCAGGCTGCAGCTTAAATGGCGGCTAGCGAACACAGAGGCCAGAAAACAGCCAGCAAGCAGAGATGGAGGTCAAAAGGTCAAGGCAGGTTAAACCTTTGAACTTTAATTTTCTAACAGATAAGAGAGCAAAAAAACAAACCTAAAACAAACACACAGATATCAACATAACATCAAATAAAAAAAATCAAACTACCAATCATAAAGTGTAATAAAATAACCAATTAACCCTGACACATGTCTCACACATGCTGCTGTTTACTTTTTTGCATTAATGCAAGATTGCAGAAAAAACAATCTAATGTTTGCATTTCCCCTAATAACCTGCACCCTTGAGCAGCACCGTGTTAAAAATCCGTACTCCTGTTTCTCTTAAACTGGCAAATGGAGCCTGTGAATGTGACCTCAACTCTAGATCTGTAGCAGTTCTACCTCTAAAGCCAGTCTTTTTCTGTTTCTACAGCTGCAGAAAAGCAGAATGAGTAGTTTTTCTTGCTTTCCTTGAGACTGATCTTGCTTTGCAGTATGAAGCTACAGATAAAAACTGGAAACAAGCAGAAACAGCCAGCCTGGATGAGTATAGTGGTAACAAGGTCCGCCTGCCAGGTAGCCTTGAACTATAGGTGTGCTGGGATGTAACAGCAGGTGTACCCCTCTGTGTTTACTTTTCTTTCCTGACTGTAGACTTTAATTCTGCACAGCCTGCTGGGAAACATAAGTACCTTGGTAATGACCCAGGTCTTTGGACTAATGCTGCATTATAGTTGTCCATGGTCTCATTTCCACAGCACACATTTCAAACATTTATTGTTATGTAAAATTATAGAAATCTAGCAAAAGCGAGCCTAAGTTTTCTCTTCTACAATTATTTGCAGTTGAGATGTTGTAAATGTTGCCCTCTCCTAATTTTGATTGGTTGATGAGTGACAAAGGACAATGGAGAGATAGCGGCATTAAAAATGCTGAGCTATTTTCAACCTAATAAGGTATAATCGGCCTTAATAATAAGGAAGACCGTGAGTGTCAAAACTCAACTTCACATAATTTGAATAAAAAATGAAAGCACAAAAATATGTTTCCTATGGAGACCCAAAATGCATACGACACAGCTGCCAAAATGACAAACTGACAAACTGATGTTTTTCCTCAGAAAAAACAGGTCATCTGTGTACAGTCTTTATGCTATCATAAGCTAACCAGCTACTGGCTTTAATTTAGTCATTCACCATAAGGTGGCAGCACTTTAACAAAAGGTTTTGGGGTAGCTATCCACAGGTTGCAGTCTTGAAAGTTGACTTTTATGCCATCTTGGTATTTGACCTTAGTAACTTCATGTTACTAAGACCTCAGTCACAGACCTAGAGAGCAGTCAGTGACCATCTGCCCAGCTTTCTGTTGCTAGGGAAAAATGTGTTTGCTGGCAGTTGCCATGAAATCAGTTGCTAAGGCCTCATTCTAAAAGGCCAGTTAGTGATTCCCCCTGGTATCCACTGGTTACTAGACAAGAATGTGTATTCTTCAACAGGTTTGCAAGTGGTTGCTAGAGTGTAACATAAAAGATGCTCCTTTTGAAATGCATCTGCTGCAGAGGTAAGGCACAACTCTTACTTTGAAGGCAAATGTTTTTGGGTTCAAATTTGAAGACTAAAAGGCAGACAGGTTGGTGTCTTCCATCAATCTAAAGGCAACTGCAGCCATCCACCAGCAAACAAAGCAATCACAAGGGTTTCAGAGCACCCTGTTTGCAGTTGATGTCAGCCTGCAGCCACTTCTAAACCAGTCAGGGAATACACAGTTCTCTCTAGTGACCTAGTTTCGATCTGGTCACTAGAAAAAAAACTGTTGCCCGAGGCTGAAGGCTAACCTGAAAAATGTTGGAATGTCTCAAGGGGGTATTGAGCCAATACCACTAAAGCAGGGGTGGGCAACTCCAGGCCTCGAGGGCCAGTGTCCTGCAGCTTTTAGATGTGTCCTTGATCCAACACAGCTGATTCAAATGGCTAAATTACCTCCTCAACATGTCTTGTAGTTCTCCACAGGCTTAGTAATGAACTAATCATTTAATCGAGGTGTGTTGACCCAGGGTGAAATCTAAAACCTGCCCTCGAGGCCTGGAGTTACCCACCCCTGCACTAAAGGGTCTGAGCACCATCTTGTGTTTCAAAGAGATATTACACAAGAGTGTATCTGGAACCTACTCCAGGCTGATATGGACTCGGCAGACATCTCTGTAACACGACACACAGACACACTTCATAGTGTTTGTCTCTTCACATTCTCACTATAGTTTAAGTTTATTTTGAAAAGGGCTTAAATTCCTTTTAAGGAAGTTTTGGCGTTTCAAGCGATTTTATTTTTTATAAAAAGTACCATCAAGTGTGCATTTAACATCTAGCTCATCACTGTGCACACTGCTGAACTTTCACTTTAAATCTGTGTTATTATTATTTTTTATTTTCAGAATCCACCACACAGGGTCTATGAACAAAAACCATCATATGTTCTCAGTCTGGACAACAACACTCCTTAAATCAGTGCAGAGGTGGAAAGTCAAATCTGAACTTCTACAAGTGTGTTCACGCACAAGGAGTAAACACAATCAGCCCAGCATGCTCTGCACCAGACTGGAGCTGCCACTTTGACTTCTGTCATGATGGAGGAAGCTGTAAGCTGCAGGCAGCGATGACAGCAGTGATGAGTCAGCATTGTTGAAGTTAAAAGACCCCATTAGACAGCCAAAAAAGACAAAAAGAACAAAAAGGAGGCAGAAAGGATATTTAACCAGCCGTGGGAAAAAGCTGAGTGGTTTTCAAGTTTTTCGTAAGATTTGGGTTCAACCTGTGTCAGACTGCTCTACTTATTGTTCAGTGGCATAAAGGTAAAAAAAATAATGCAATTGTGTTATCAGTTCTAACTGCTCAAGGATGACATTTCAAAAAGTTGCTTTTAGACACACAGAACCATCAGCTTTCCTTCCATGTCTGGTTTATAATTTAGTGTCTGGCAAAAATCTTTAATTGTAGTTTTCACCTCACTTTCTGATATAAATTACAAGGAAATGGAAGGTGCCAATGCTACAGTGTCATTAAAGTAAAATCATAGCCCTAATGCTGAAGAGATCTGATTTTTGCAGGACACTTCTTTTGACTTATTGTGTCAACAACAAGCCAACAACCCATTGAATCAGGCTGAAATGGACTCAGTTGGGAGTTTCTCTGAAGAACTGGGGGCGTTTTCAGGTTGGAGGTTGCTGGTTTAAATCCCAGCACAGGCTTAGAAAATGTCCTTCAGCAGCAGTGGGGCTGCACAGTAGCCATCATGGTATTACCTGATAACTGCAGCGTCAGACAGACTCAGACTCTGGGTGTGTAATAACTGATTAGACTTTAAGTAGGTTTTGGAAGTCATGCAACTTGAAATCCGCCCCCAGTTCAGACAGGCCATGGCTTCTAGTAAAGGTGTTATTAATGTACAAAGATGCACTTCTTACCTCTGGTACGCCTATTTTTCTACAGGCATCCAGAAAGTTCTCCACATTCCTCCGACACTTGGCCATGCTGAGTTTGGGCTGGAAGACAAATATAACAACTTACTGAGCTACACTTAGAAACAAAACTTTCTATTTTTTACACTTTAAAGGGGATAATGGGAAACTGAACGCTCATCCAGTGATTATGCGAAGGGTCAAAGGTTGCAACTGTCAGTGAGACGTACCACTGCAGGTGAGGGGACGTGGATGCTGGCGACAGAGCGTGGGCGAATGTGATTGGCCAGATGGCAGAGCACGACGCCGTCCATCAGAGACGAACCAAGGTCTTCAGGAAGGACGACCTTCAGTCTGCTCTCGATGCTCTGAGCAAACAATGCAAGCAGCTTTGTGTGAGTAAAAAGGACTGGATCGCAGTATCATACAGTGAGAGAAAACAGAATCGGACATCCTGATGATATCGTCCAAAACAAACCTCCATAAACTCACTTAGATGACTGAAAATCAGAATTTGCCCGAAAACCGTAGCTTTCAAGCTCAAAGATGCAGTTACTGAATGTTTGAGTGTTTTCTTTTGCGCTCCAAATAGCACAACTCTGAGTCACAGTAAATCTGAACGCATCACATTCAGTGTGGCAAAACACAAAGCAAAGTGGGAGATTAGTTTAGCTCTGGGTTCCTTCACATGAAAAAAAAAAAACGAACCATAAAGAAACTGAACAGGACTTCCCTGACAGCTGGCAGGCTTTAAAGTTTTCTTTAGTTTAAAGGTTAACTAGTTACAACCATCCTTAAGTCTGTTGGTTACATCACATTCCAACATACATTTGACTTACATGCAGGCCACATACAGCCCTTTCTGATCCCAAGAGGCCAAACCAAAAGTGCCCCAAAAACAAGCCCAATTTCAGTAGCATGTTTCAGTTTATCTACACAAAGACTGCTGCAGTGCATGAAAGAAACCTGTAAGCACGACTCTTTTACAGAGAAAGTTCTGGTAGCGCACTGTCCATCTGTCACGTACCTACAGTAGGTAGCAAGAAAACAGGAACTTTTGTGTTATTTAATTGCTTATCTATCATTTTATTACTTTTGGTGTAGTATAAATGGCTATGTGGGAGGTCTTTACCAGTAGCAAAAGTTGTAAAACTAAAGATACAGTTAAAAGTCCAAAGTTCATGCCCTTCTTCATAATTTTCCAAAGCCATTCAATGCATTTATTCAGTGTGTTTTCCAGTCTGATTTTATGTTTGAGAACTCTGGCTTACAGAAACAAATATATGTCTAAAGAAAACGTCCAGGTCATTTGATGCACTTGTCATAAATATAAAGATATAATTGTATATTATTACCATTATTATTATTATTATTATATAACATATATTCTTACATCTTTGCAATTTTCATTCAGTGAGATTTCACTGAGCTGATAAAATGCTGAGCTAAGAAAACAAAACAAAAAACAAAACCCTGTGGTTCCATGCAGAGCGTCAGACTTATTTTAAATCAGAAGAGGAGCTCCGGGTTTATGATCCAAATCTGCAGTTAAGATACAATGAAGGCTTTTATGGAGACAGATATTTAGTCTGGCCAGGGTGAAAACCTGCTTAACCTCAGTCATGCAGGCTGGATACGTTTGACATAAGCTCATATCAGATCTATAACACCCCACCCCCCACTCAAATAATATAAAAAAATAAAAGAACATTAGCTTGTCTCACATCTCTTAGCTGCTCCATGAGCTCCAGTTCCTCCCGCAGCTGCTCCATCTTTCTTCTCATGGTGAACTGAGGATCCACAGACTCCAGGCTCTTGTGGCTCCGCAGGAACACTGCAGCAACAACAAAAGAAAATGGAACATAACACATTAAGCATCTGCAGGAGTACACAGTTAGTACCAGTTAGAGATAAAACAAGGACAGCAGACGTCTGAGGAAGGAGAGATTTGCCGTGATGAGCAGAGACTGAAAAGCTGCCACTGGAGGCGGGAAATCTAATAATCATATGCCACAATAAATACCAGCAGTGCATTTAAACAATGAGCAAAGACCTTCTCAAGCAGCTGATACACTGCAAGATATTAAATATTCTACTGAAACTAAAAATGCAGCAGCAGGTCTTTAAAACACAAATTTAGACTCCTTTTAACTAAATCACACAGCAGGATCAAAATCCAAAGACTTTGGAGCACCGACGGAGAAAAGAACGTCTGTCAAAACCTGGGAAAGGGGACAGAAAAAAACCTCCATATTTGTATCCTAGGACTACTACAGTAGCTTTGCATGACTCAAAGTTAAAAGTAATGTTCATTGTTTAAATACTGGACCTTGGTGCTGCACTTCAGTTCATCCACTGTGCAGCCTGATGCAGACAAACATCCCAGAATGAGTGTGTGACACAAACTGACGTGAGAGGAAAAAAAAACTGTTCTGTGGAAAGTTTACACAAGTACAGCATTCACATGCACTCGTGCAGTCAGAGCTCAGCATGCTGCTCGCTCCCGCTCTGTCACAGGAGCCGTCATGTGAGGAGGAATTAGGGCTCCAATAAACAGCTTGCAGAGGGAAAAAAAGCCCAGACAGATGGATTATTAAACATTAAATCCTCTGTGTCTCTCATGTGCTGTGGTCTTTCAAGGCCTGGAAAAGAGTCACAAACCTTCCAGGCACTCAGATTTTTAATGTGCTGATCTATTAATCAGGCAATAGTTACCAGGCCTACTGAGCTGAGGCTCAAGCAGGGAGACAGTCGACTGTCTTTTTGTGTCTCAAAAAACACATGAAACAGATGAGAGACGTGTTAATTAGTGAGTGTTCGAGGGCCTGGCAGGTGGATGTGTTCCCTTCAGTCAGACTCAGCCAGCTGCTGCCCCAGATACCAGTCCTTCTAAAGTTTCTTGTCTGCTTACTGTCCTGCTGCCTCTCAGCAAAAAAGCAAATCACCATCAACACCCCATCCTTGTTACATTTACTCTCCAGCAGAGAAGCTGGAGAGTAAATGTAACAATATACACATATGTATATGTATGTATGTATGTATGTATATATATATACATACATACACATATACATATATATGTATTCCCACATACCAGATCTTTAGTTTACCCTCAAAAATAGCAGACAGATGGCGGCTCTTTCGTTCTTTTGAGGAGATTAAAATAAATATGTAAATATTTGCAAAGTCGCTTTACTTTTGCCTGAAAAAAAAACAACTAAAAGCATAAATTAAAGATCAAAACAGCTGCTGGGATTGGACTGTTCCAGCTTCAATTTAAATAATATCAACAATTGGAGCAGAAAGTGAAGAGAAGCTCGGATTAGAAATGCAGATGACGAGATGCACTTTTATTTAGCGTGTGTAGGAGGACAGAGTGTGAAACACACTTGGTCTCTTCCTACACACCCACACACATGAAAGGCACACCGCTAAACTCTGAATCATTCACCTCTTCACTGTCCTATTTTCCACACGCATACATCAGCCTCTTACAGCTGAATGAAGCTGAACACTGCCTGTGAATGTGCAGTTCCACTGAGCGACCACAGAAGGGAGCTCCAGGCTTTTCAGTGGGGGTCATCTCATGTTTTGAGGAGGAGAAGATGAGAGGGCTTCAGGGTGTGAATGTTTTCAACAGTTTTACCCACATTTCAACTCTGCACTGTCAACACTGACATTCCTCTGGAACTGAATGAAGCTCTTTGACTAAACCCACTGATCAAGTTGACGTTTTTTTTGAGTTGGTAAAATAATCTACTTGGACCTTGGAGCCTAGTTCCTCTGGTGAAACAGCAGGTGGAGGAGCTGGGGTCCACTAAAGGATAATGGAATATCGTCTTAGTGTGAAAAATCATTTGATTGGCCTGAGCTCTCCGTTTGAGACGAAGAGGAAGGGGAATATGGTGAAGGGCAAACGGTTTTCTCTCACTCGGTTTATATTCTGGGTCACGTCATGCTACAAGCTGCTCAACACTCCCTCCTCTTCATCATCTTCCTCCTCTTCTCTCTAAATATCTCTCTGTCTCTCTGCCATCTGGACATTCTGAGCCTGTAGCATCTTGTTTCTGTGCCTCTTCTCTGAAGGTTTTTTTTTCATGGGGGGGCTTGTTGGCGTTTTCCTCCAAATACCCTCCTGATTTGTAACTGGTAACATAAAAAATTAAACACTATCACAATCTAAGCAGAATTTGGACTACAAACTGCAGCAATACTGACAGAGCATCCCAGGCTGTGTTTACAATAAAAGCAATAAATAAATAATATTAATCAAAGAAGAATAAGTGTGGAACATCTTTCATCATGGTGGCTGCAGCCATCTTTCATAATGTCCACGGCTCCGCTGCTTGTCATTAAGTGGTACAGAGGTGGTCGAGATCCATTTATTATATATAATCATTCACCATAAGTCACCCGGATGCTCTCTGAATCAGCTGACAGAGGGATCCAAACAGTGTGTTGGTTCAGGCTAAAGCTAGTGTGAAAGTGTACAGTAGAAACGTCAGCTCACCAAAGCACACCCATGTTATTGCCCAAGGACCTCAAATTCTCCATGACTGTGGCGGAACAGAGTTTATATTTCCTCCTCTTAGCTCTCACTTTAGCTCCATCTTTTAAACCCTGCCGTCTCCTCCAGGACTACAGGCCTCGGCTTGGGCAGTAGAACTGAGGCCAATTCTCCAATAATGAGAGTGAAATGAGATGAAAAAGACACACGCAGGGTTGACAAGACAAGAATTGAAAGCAAAGGTAACCACATTTTCCAAGGATAAACACAAAAAGCAATGAATATTGACTTTGGATGATTGAATCCTTAAAAAAAACAGCAGGAGCTGATATAACAGGCTGTTACACAGTAACTGCTCACATCTGAAGGGTATCCAATCAGGTTAGTATACTATCAAAGACTGGCTGATTGCCTTTTTGATTACAATTGATTAAACGCTCCTGGCCTTTGATTACATAAACCCGATTCCAAAGAAGATGGGACACTGTACAAAATGTAAATTAAAACAATGCAAATACATGCAAATCTCATAAATCCTGTTATTTATAGCATAACACAGAAAAAATATATTAGCTCAATTTGAATATGATGGCAGCAACAGGTCTCAAAAAAGTTGGGTTTACCGCACTGCAGCATCTCAATTTACATCATATATGTAGTAACATCGTATTTTAGCAACAGTCCATAAAATTTGGGGAACTGAGGAGAGCAGCTGCTGGACTGACTGATACAGGATTGTAGCTGCTAAACAGCTTCTTCTTTGTTGTATTTTACATTTCAGAATGTGTGGAAAGATTGTAACTGGTGAAAGATTCTCCACTATGAAGCCATGCTGCTGTAATACTTGCAGTTTAGCATTGTCTTGCTGAAATATGAAGGACTTTGCTCTAAAACCTGTATATACATTTCTGCTGCTATCGTACCATCAGAGATGCACACCTGTGAACTGACTGCTGATAACAAGTTGGATGGTTCCTCTCCTCTTTAGTTCCACTTTTGATTTGTCTGACCATACAACACTTTTCCATTTTGCCTCAGTCAGTGTAAATGAGATCAGAAGTCATTTTCATATGGATAAAGAGGAAGAAAAAATAATCATTTGCAACAAAACATGTTTTAGTGTAACCTGCAGTAAATTCCATCAAGTAATCCAAATGTCCTTTGATTATTTTTTATGGATTCTGATGGTTTACATAACCATTTTTAAAACTGGCACATAGTTTTTAAAAATGATGGTAGTTACATGTTTAAAAAGACAAGTATTCAAAGACTGATCACACGCAGTCTGTGCATGCATCTGCACTTGAAGTCACTCACACAAGGTGATGATTGGTCACTAATGAGGTCAGGCGCACTGACGATGGGAGCATGATGTCATTCTCCCTGAGGCCTGAACCCATTACGGACCATTAGTCACCATCTTATCACGCTTACACATAAGGGGCTCGTGTAGAAATGTTGTGCTTCAAAAAGAGTTTCAGGAAGCCACTGATAGATAACTAATGATGCTCTCCTTACAACAGCAAACACTGAGAGCGCAGCAGCTCAAAGACGTGAGTCAGATAGCTTACAGTGTGAAAGTTAGCATCAACAGACCGAATCACTGTACTTTTAAGTTCAGCATCAGTACACTCGAAAAGTTTTTTATATAGCGAGGGCACAAAAGGGAAACACATGTAAAATGTTACAAGAGTGAAATGAAAATGAGTCAGACTTAAAAACTGAAAGTGGTGAGAAAGTGAAGTTTAAAGAGTCTCTGAGGGTTAGTAACAGATTTGTGAACATTCAAGAGTTATTACAGCGAGTGTGTGAACAGCTCACAGCTAAGAGTCGCCGCGATATATCAGAGCCTTTTATGGACCAAACGACTAAAATGCAGCTCTCTTCTGGGCCGCACAAAAATAACTTCTAGCTCTGTGAGCACCTTCCTCGACACACTGCATTTTCACATCCCCTTTAACCCAATCTTAAACATTACAGCTAAATGACCCAGCCAAACTTGACTGTTAATCCAAGTGTGAACCCTGTCCTAAAGTCACAACCAGGCAAAACATGTCCACACTTTGTGGTCTACAGTTGAAACTGGTGCTGATGAAGATAAATAAAATATGACACGGCTGTGATCCATCTACTATCTTGGACTCTATTCCAGTGGAAGTAGGATACCCCTTTAGGGACCATTATCTGACGCTTAAAATATAGGAACCGAAAATAGACGCACACGAAAGCCAGACTCATTGATACTTCATACATGCGCAGACGCATACATCTCCAATTGTATGTGTGTGTGTATCAGACTTTCCTAATACGGTCTCTGATGCTGCAAGCCATGTGGTGGTTAGACTTAAGACATTTTAACTCACAACACATGCAGGCAGTGTCACGACAAAGCCGACACAAAACAGAACTGTTTCTTCTGGAGTGAAGTATGAGAACAGAAGTGAAAACAAATGCTGGGATTCTTTGTATTAACGCATTAAAAAAACCCTAATAATAACATTTTTTTCATTTTGCTCAAGTGCAAGAAGGACAACTTCAGTAAGATGTAAGGTCCACCAGTAACAGGTTTACTCAGTGTGCCCAGCTCAGTGCATATGCAGCAGAGCAGACAACTTTGCCAAGATACACTATATTATACACTACAGTGCAAGAACTTACACTCACCCATTCAAACCACTGAATTTAGGCGTTCCAATCACTTCCATGGCCAAAAAGTCTGCCCTGACCATCATGGACTTTCCTCCACAAAAATCAACCTCATTCAGCATTTATGAAAGCACTTGAGGACTGGGGAAGCTATGTATGACTGACAAGAAGCTCTTTTGAACACTGCCAGATCAAACTCAGTCCAGCAAACACGCATGTTCAGGCAAACAGTGGGTACCTGTGAGTGAACTGCGCGGTTGTGCACATTGCGTAATCTCACATTTCTCCCATGTGGGCAAATTTCCCCCCAGGTTAGCCACCTGTGGATCACATGTGGTTCCTGCACTGTGGAGCCAAAGGTGTCAGACTACTAGACCCCAGTTTGTAAGGCACTGGGGTTTTCCTTTGAATCAGCAAGCTGCATTTGATGATTCTCAGTCATTAGAACACACTCACTTTAGGGCTGCCACAAACAATTGTTTTGATAGTCGACTAGTCACCGATTATTTTTGCGATTAGTCGACTAATCAGATCATGCATCCATTGAACGTAAAACGTACAGCTTATTGCACCAGCAGCATCTGCTCTTATATAACTATCATTAGCTTACAGCTTTAAGTGTTTAAGGTATGTGCTAACTAAAAATAAAGACAAGATGATAGTTTATTAAATTTTAATGAAATGTGCAGATTGTTTCGGTGAAGTTTAAACCGATTTACTCAGGAACAAATAAAATACTGAAAAAAGCCAAACAATAACATTTTTGAGTTATCTAAGTGACTTGTATATCATGTTTAACCTGAGTAGCGAAAGACGGCGGTGGGTTTGAAAACGATTTTCCCAGAGTCCGGTGTTCTCACGGCTCTAGTGAGCCTAGCCCCCAGCTAGCTATCGAGCTAGTGGGTAACAGACGTCTCCGAAAACGTCGGAGCGCTTTTGAAAATATGTGGTGTCCTGATAAACTGAGCAGATATTTGCGGTTTACACAGCTACATTCTCGCCTGAAAATATGTCAAACGTCTATTTTGTGGCCCAGAAAGAATAATAAGAGTAATATTAAAACTAACTAGCTGCCGCCATTGTTGGAAACTGAGCAGGGCCGTGATGGGCCACGCTATGAATTCTGGGACACAGTCTTCTTCTTCGGGGTTTAATGGCAGCTGGCATCCTTGTACATGCAGTGCTGCCATCTTCTGTTTCAGTCCATTATTACACTCTTAAATCCTACTACGGTACTTATTCCTGCGTCTTTTGGGATCTTACAAAGCTTCAAACGATGCGTCGACTATTAAATTAGTCATCGACGATTTTGATAGTCGACGTAATCGTAACTAGTCGACTAATCGTGGCAGCCCTACCTCACTTATATAGAAGCAACAAAACACTTGGTTTGTTACAATAGCTATTTTCTTAGAAATGTAAATTTCAGACCTTCTAGATCTTCTACACAAGCCAACTGCAGTCGCACGCACAAATCATGGCATCAGCTCTAACTTCTACCACGTGCGCCTGCTAGTCCACAGCCACCACACACACACGGGAACAGCTGGAGATGAAAGCAGAGTGCGGTGAAGCTCGTCTTTGATCACAGTCTGCTGTTTCGACACACAAACGTATGCACGCGCGCGTGCATGCAGAGCAGCTAATCTGAAACACCCTAACATGTGGTCTGAGGCAAAGAAACACACAGTGGCAGTGGACGAGAGAAATTAAGAGAAAGCTGTGACAGAATTTCAAAGGAAAGGAAGCTGCTGTCCCCATTCGCACCAACGAGAGGAGCCAGTGAGTCGCAGCTTGATGAGATGACAATAAAGTTTCTTAAAACCACAGGTGAACACAAACTCAGACCCTCTGTGTCAAAAGGTTGTCCAAAACGCTGTCGTCAAGATTAAAAAATGAATAAAATTTAAAAAAAAAACTCAGCTTCACCTTAAATCTCAGTGTTTGCAGTTTAAATGTCTGCATGTTCAGATGCCTGCTGACAGCCCAACACCACATCATCAGACATTACTGCTTGTTCTTTAACTGAGGAGGAAAAGTGAAGGAGGCCACAGCTCCTTTACTCCTTTTTTCTTTCACAATCGCCACTCAGGCTAACTCTAAAAGATTGTAAAAATTATTTGTGACATATTTCTGCAGGTACAACAGGCAAATTCTTTTTTTGAGGTACTGTGCTCAACAAATTTATCAGACCACACAAATATTTGAGAAAGAACAAATCAAAAACTTGTTTAAAACTAATAAATATATTGTCAGTTATTTGCCAAATAGCTGAGACTTTTTTCCCCAAAATTTGAGCTGGTACACTGGACTGAGAAGCGAGAACTACAGGAAGCAACATTAAGGGGGGTACACAGTTCCACAGTGAGAGTTGCTATGCCAACAGCTACAGAGAGTGGTGGAGGCAGCAGAGAACGTCGCTGGCAAGCGCCTCCCTGCCACTAAGGACAACGTAAGACTCAGAGCATTATCAAGGATCACAGCTAGATTGAGAACAATCTGTTCCGAGATTTCCTTCATCAAAAATAAAAAACCATACCCGATCTCTCATTCAACACCATTGTCTTCATGCCTGGATGGCTTCCACAGCACAGCCGCTGTTTTTCAATATCTCTCTGCAACCTGCGATGCGCCTCCTCGATAGCCTCCAGTGTGCTAAAACGGTCACCCTTATATTATTGCACTAAAAGCTCAGTGGGGAAAACATTTTGGTTTGAAATAAAAATAAAAATGTAAAAAGCACAACTTGGAAAAGAAAAACAGTACAGAAAAATATCCTGGAATTCCCTTTAGTTTTAGTCTTTTTTGTCAGCACAACCAGGCTGTGAATGGTTAGCATGTCATGACTGGGACTAAAGGACCTTCACATGTGTATCAATAATGCTTATTCTGACAGATATAAAGCCTTGTTACAACTAAAACTGAACCTAACAAAACTAAACTAAAAGAAAACCTAAAATTGAAAAAGGTAATGAAAAATACAAAACTATAGCAACGCTGTTCAGATGGAGAGAAGCTGATGTGTGCACTCATGGCTGTGAAAGTTTGAAGGCTGTGGTGAAGTCAGAGTTGACAGTTATATAGTCATAATGGGGTTTCCATGGAGAGACAGAACAAGAGCAACTGTGCTGGAAATGGTTCCTTTACATGCACTGGAGGTGACTGCAAGAGGAGATCGCCCAAATTCAAATCGGGTTGGTTTTTCATTTTTAATGGCTCTGTTCCTGGAACTCTGAAATTAAACCTGGTATAGATCAGTAATTCCCAATGATATAACCTTAATTAATTAGTTAATTAATTAATTAGCAATCCTCTTTGCTTATCCTTTTCAGGACGGGGGGCGATGACAGCTGTCTTAGCAATGACTCGGAAAACCAATTCTGATACGCTCACTTTTTGTGAGTGCTGCTGGTGTTAAATAAAATGATATGATATGACATAGGATGGTAAACAAGTTGTGGACTAATGAACAGAAAAACAACAGACAAAAGACTAAATTCAAAATGTTTTTTTGTTTTTTAAAACACATTTAAAGACCACCTTTAAAGTTAAAAACCAGTAATGACAGGCTTTTCTGGCTTTGAAGAGAAAACGGTCCCTACCCAGGGTTTGTCAGCAGACAGCTCAGCCCAGATGTGTGTCATCTGGCCAATTAGCAGATAAAGCGGAACCTACCCCGGTTGTGATTGCCTCCGTCGTCATGGCTACGAGGTGTATCTCTATGGAGGGGCGAGGCCTGTGGGAGGAGGGAGGGGTCGAGACAGGAAGGCGGGGGCGAGCAGGGCAGCGAGGGTGGAGCTACAACCAGGCGGGTGGGAAGTGGGAAGTGTTCAGAGACGCAGGAGGTGGGGGGTGTGTGTAGTGCAAGGAAGGTAGTTGGAGGAGGTGGTGGTGGTAGGGTGAGCATCAAGGTAAACCAAGTACAGCAAGGCAAAGTTCATTCCACGAAAAACACACCCCGAAAAACAGCAAAAATCACCAGGAGAAAGTGTGAATTAGTTTTCAGGAATCAATGAAGCAGGTATTGATTCAAAAATGCAGGCAGGTCAGATTAAATGAGTGTTTATGTGATTTTTAACATCAAAGGTCATGCAGGAGAAATGAAAGTGCCACAAAAAAAGGCAAAAAACAAACAAGTAAATCAGAAAAGGTAAAAAAGGTGAAGCAAAGAAACAGAATGAGATGACAAGACACAAAACAAAACAGCACAAAACAAAATAAAGATTAGTGGCATTTCACATTACAAATCACTCTCACATGCTGTTAGCATCATGTTAGCTTCATTAGCGGTTAGCATCATTTCACACTGGTAACAGCAAACAAAAGCTGGATGGTTGCCAACTATAATAAAGCATGGGCAGAAGCTTTCTATCATTCTGCAAATAAAGCTGATGAGCAGGGGCCACAAGCTGCCACAACATGACTGCTGCTGCTTCGCTTTAAGCTAATGACTAAGTTCAGGGTTTCCAGCGGTGTATCTGATATGCCTGTGTTGGTGTTGTTCAATACTGTTTGTCCAGGATCAACTGACCAGTCACATTGTTATGATGTCATAGCATTGCAATGTTCGGAAAAAAATGCCTTAGTTTGTATAAAACTCTGTATAAGATTCTGGAACAAATGGTAAGCATTTCAAGTTGTTAATTTATACAAAATAATAAATATATTACCAAATTAGGTTTGCTGTTAGTCAAATTTAGGTATACATGTTGGTTTGTGAGCAAGAGTTTTTCAAAGCATTAGCTGAACGCTCAAACAATGTCAGTTTTAATGTTTATCCTGGACCAACATTATTATGATGACGTTTCCAGCAGTGTATTAAAGCTGACACCCTTTTAGGGCCTTAGAAGAAAAATAATTAAGTGTGTTTGCTTTTTCACCCACCTGTAGAAAGTTTTGCTTTTAGGGTTTTTAAAGCCATATAAAGCCATGTAAAAGAAAGACAATTTCCTACACTCTTGTTTAACCAATATGGATTATATCAATTAGAATGTTGAGCTCTAGGCTAAGCTTAAATTAAAACTACATAAGCTACAAACTGTATGACTAGAGCAACAGAGCTCATGTCAAAATCAGGTGTTCATCATACACTCAGACTGTGCATTTTTTTTCAGCGACCAGCATAGTAAATGCCATTAAATTATCACAGTGTGGTAACTGAAAGTATACTCTGTCCAGAAAAAAACCCCAATTTGTTAACCTGTACATCTGGTACTCCAGTTAACCTGGTCCACTATCTCAGCTGACTCACCCGAACGAGGTTTCAGTCCAAAGGGTGGGCTGGAGAAGGATGGAGGTCCGCTCACTGGAGATCTGTCATTTCGCTACAACAACAGAAATGGAAACAAAAATTAAAGTCAGTCCTATTTTAGTCAATTTAATGAAAAAATGCTGGACAATCTTGATCCTGTGCTTTATGTGCAGTTTTCAATGACACAGACTTATGAATGACTCCACAGAGAGAGATAAAGTACACAGAAACACATTCACTCCTGTGATGAACCTGTGCAGACTAACAGGAGCTCAGTGGCCTAAAATTGAACTCAGAACAACACTCCACTCAGTTCCTGCTTCCTCTACCTTCAACCATCACTCAACTCATATGGTGAGCAGAAACACAGATACAGCAGACTAGCTTAGTGTCAGCACCAACGCTCCAGAGGTGTGTAATTCAACAAAATTGAAGAGGTACATATTCTTTTCCAAAGACTGTTTTATTTTTATTTGAAAAAAAAAATAAATCCTACGGTCTTTCATATTATCACCTGGTAATAACATCTGATCTGAATTTGCATTTCTTATGTGAACAATAGCAGTTTAAAATATATGCAGAACACACTGCAATATATATCTTCTTTGATTTCCATTTGTTCTAAATACAGTGCTGCTTACAGCCCTGTACAAAGAGTGATGACCATCAAAGCAGAAACCCACTGCACTCATAGTGTCACAGATTTGCTATTGTACACATTAAGTTAGCTAGCTAAACACAAGAAAAAATGTTAACATAATGGAGAAAACAAAGAACAATTAATTGTGACAAAACAGGATGACATTTTAGACAACATCCATAAGTTTTGCAAATGTAAACAGACCTTGCCCAAAACACCCCATGTAACATAAACTTAATGGTACATTCAATTCAGTGTCTTTCATACAGAAACCTATCATTCCTAATCTAATTTGAGGAAATAGGGAATGTTTTACAACAGAAATATATTCAATATATTCAATTTTTCAATTGAATTCAATTTAATTTTTTTATTTGTAACCATTGTCAAATTACAACAACGGCTGCCTCAAGGCACTTTATGGTAAAGACCCTACAATAATAGAAAGAAAAAGGAAAAAAGCAATAGAAAGACAAATTCTGGTATTACTGTTTTAAGCATTGGATGTTTTAACCGATGCTTTAACCCAGAAATAAATAGAGGTAGTACAGAAATATAAAAAAACAAAGTTTTGGTGTTAATCCAATAAATAGTAAACATCATAATATATAGTTCATGAAATTACAAAAATAACCCTGAAACAGTGTTAATTATAAAACAAACAAAACACAGAGACCTCAAGTCACACAGCCACTTCAGCAGATGAATGTTGCACACTAACATGGGAGAGAGAAAACACCAGCCACTTGTTTTTCTACTGTCCACTACAAAGGCTTTCAGTAAACCCACCTTCAGTTTAGCCAGTTAGTAATTTCCCAAGAAAGCCTGTGAGTAACTGGTGAAAGATTGAGACTCGCATGTAGCAACAGAGAAACATGTACCCTCTCTGTTCACATGTGGATCAGGCTGCTGGATGAAATGCGACACGTGAAAAGCTCAGAGAGGTGTGATCGGCAGCTAACACAGCAAACAGACACACGACCGTTGGATCACTGCGAAGCACGACCGTAGACAGCTCACTCGGAGGACAGAGACTACATCCAGAGGTCTGGTGCTACGTTTACCTTGATCGACATATGCCACTCATACTCCCGACACGCAAGCTGGGCTTCAAACCTGGCCTTTTCTAGAATCATCTGTCTCTTCTTCTGGAACTCACAGCCACCTTCATCCATGTGCTGCTACAGGACGCATCAAAGGTTTCAGCTGTAAGTATTTTCTGTTACTAGCATACCTACAGGTTTTACTTATCTAGGAACGCACAACACTTTTCCACCTGCTGAGCTCCACCAGTTGAGGATAGTCATTAATAAATTTTTTAGATAAGAGAGGTGTCTTTGCAAACTGGACCACCTAGTGGTAGTGGATAGGACTTGAAATACTATAAGAAAAGGCCAGAAAAAGGTTTCTTCATTTCTAGTCTCTCTCTCTATATATCACATATTATACCATAATTATGCCTTAAGTATATTAGGGGGTCTTTAGCCCTCTAAATGACCCTACATGTTCTGCTTGGATGGCTCAGGGATCATGAAGGAAAAATGAAGGAGAGTTTGAACATTATTTGGCTGCAAGTACCAATTCTTTCCTCTAAAATGTTTATACCAAAATAACATTTTCATCTGTTGAAACTTCCTCTGGTGCTTTTGTCAAAGAGAAGAGCCACCAGGCATTTCCCGAAAGTTCTCATTAATAAAAATCACTGCCACCTGCTGACCCAGAAATCCAACAAAAAGCTCAAAATCCAAGTTTTACCAGAACTCTTCAGACACAGTGAATGTTGCTATTTTATTATAAATTACTGGCCAACAAACTGGAGTTTGAACAAACCTGGAAGTCCTTCCAGAAACTAAGAAACATGTATGCCATGTATGTGTGTTAGAGCTAAAGAGCTCTAACGAGCTCATACTGTACCTTTGGTGATGTGGCGCCGTCATCACTGTCCTGCCCGCTAAGGAGAAAAAAAAAGGAAAATAAGGGCAAGTGATCTACTTTACCATGACCCTACATAAAACAGTGTACAGAATCAGAACTACATTTATCTTCAGGAACGACCATATTGGCCCAAATACAAGAAAAGACATTTATTTTATGTTTTTCAGAATTTAGGTTTAGAAGCATCTTAGGAACAAGATGGCATTGAACTGTCTTCTACAAAGATGCATGATGAATTCTTTGTAATAGCCATTTTTTCAGCCCATTTACAGCAAAGGACTACAGATGAAAAGTAGCCTTTTTTGCTAATTCTGCCATTTTAAGATTAATATGTTCACTAATATACACTGTTCCTTTTAAATGAATGAATTCAATTCAAACTCAAAATTGTGAGACAGTTGGTCCTGTTTAATTAGCCCAGTTCAACTTCCAGGACTTTCTGATCATGTCTAGAATATTTACTTACACAAATTGAGGCTATCGATTGAACGTTAATAAAATGATAGCTGTCACTGACTGTGGGCTGACAGAGAAGATGATACAGAGTAATCAAGTCTGACATACAAGACACAGTGATGGATTTTTTGTTGTGTTCATACACCACTCTTCACTCAATCATTACTCATCATTAATGTGTTGCTCTCCTCCACAGTGTGTCTTGGTCCCATCTCCCTCCCCTCACCCAATGGCTCCCCTCCCTGAGCCTGGTTCTGCCGGAGGTTTGCTTCCTGTTTATATCAAAGCCCTTTCTCATAGGGGGTCATCTGTTGTTTGGCGTTTTCTCTGTTTTGTCGTAGGATTTCCACCTTATAAAATAAAGCACCTAGAGGCAGCTGTTGTTGTGATTTGCTGCTATATAAATAAAACCGAACTGAATTAAATAGAGGTAGAATGCTTTCGGAGCTAAAAAAAAAAAAAAAAAGAGATTTTTAACACAAAAACATTTCTCCCCTCAGTCCATCAGGCCAAAACCTTTTCCACAGTCATAATACAAGTAGTCGTAAACGCAGATTCATGGAATCTTACTTCAGTGACTCGTCCACTGTGACCATCTCCACTGGATAGAGCTGGACTCCAGACAAATCTTCCTCTGTGTTCACCCTGATGCACAAAACACAATAGTAATGCCACAGAGTGCTGGCTTACAAATGAGAAAAACAAACTAAAAACAAAAACATGACTTCAGTCAAGTTTAATTCTCTCATAGTTTAAGTAAGTTCAGCAGTGGTAACATAGTGCTGCAGATATGAATTATTACTCAGCAAAGGGAAACAGACTATGGATACTCTTATAGACTCACTGTGGTGTCACTTAGCTCTAACTAACACTCAGCTGTTGGTGTTTTTCACCTGCTGGGGTCCTGCAGCAGTTCCACAGCCTCTTTTAGCTGGTTGATCATGTCGATGTGGAGCTCTGTGCCCCCTGTGACTTTTGACCTGCAGCCACAAAGATAGAAATGAGAGTCATGTATATGTACAGTGTATTTACACGGGTGATGATGGTGCCATATCATAAAATCACAGCTGGCAAAATTCCTCAGAGGATACTTGTAGATTCTAAATTGTCATCAATCAACAGAAAGAAACACAAAAAAATCACTACTGATTTTGAATGATGCTGCAAAAAGATACTGAATAACCTGTGCTAATAAAAGTAGAAGAAAAATATCTAATTATGACATACAATACAATAATCTACCAATAAATGAGGAGAAACTAAACGTGAGTCATAAAGTGGAAATCGAAACGACACTATGCTCACGAACTTACGTTTGTTGTGTTGACCAGTGAGAGTCTTCTTCTATCCTGAGGGGCTCGTCGAAGTCTGCTGCAGTCCTACCCTGCAAAGACAAGCGTACGCAAATCAGCAACAGCTGCAGAAATCACATGATCCACAGTCCGGCTCAGAGACGTTACCACTTTCTCCTCCGTACAATTAGAAAACAGAGTCCTTTTTCTTCATCCATTCCTTCCATTCTTTATGCTTTTCTTGTTTCTTACTCTTTTCTAACAGCAAGTCTTTATTCTGCAATTTGACTGTAGAGTACTTTGGTATACAGAGGAGTTCACGGCCAATTCAATGACTAGAACCAACTGGAGAATAACATCGGCAGAGGTAAAAACTGAGTTTTGATGATGTGAAACCCGTTTGTACTTTTAACTTGGAATAAGCTAAAAAAGGTGGATGAACTCCAATACTAAGTAGAGCTGGCTCTCTTCATGACAATTCAAGCAAAACTTTTAAGTCTAAAAGGAATTTTAATTGAGATTAACATAAAGTGACAGTTTATGCTGCAGGCTCCATTTAAACAAACCGCATGAGCCTAAAACGACAGGCAGCGTAACTAATGCTGGAATAAAGTAACCCAGTGAACATAATAGTTTTACATAACCTCAATCAGAGGGAGGCATTATGCATGAAGTGAACCATTTACTGCATCAATTTTTAACTGAAGCACTCAGAGGTGTGCAGACGCAACACAACACGAGCTCTTGCCTTGATGTAGTTGATGAAGCGAGTGCTGAGAGAAGAGTCTCTGTTCTGGTCTCTCAGGGCTTCCGTAGGGCTCTCCTCAATCAGCTGCACCGAGTCAGAGTTTGGGTCTGCTGAAATGAAGGAAACATGAACTCTCAGTTTTAAGCTGAAGTGTAGGGTGTAGAATTCTGCACCACAGGTTTGATAGAATATGAAAAATATGGGCACAAAAGCACAACTCCCATGAAAGTGAACCCACGAAGGATTATAATTACCTGCATAACCAAAGTTTTAAAGGGACTTGTAAACGTCACAGCTCCATCAAGTTTAGGCAGTCATGCGTAACGCAGCACAGTTTTTGTCTATGTGTTTACACTCATTCAAACAGATTCACTTTTTAAAAATATCAAAGTTATTATCAATGTGCAAGAAATAAAACACAGATACAAATACAGTCTGATCACAGCTCACCAGTCACAACTAGCTAGACACTAAATGGAGGAAATAAGCAGAACTGAAGAATCCTGAAAAAAATTATGGCAAAAATTTGGCACCAAGCCTCAAACAGCCAATCAACAGCTGAAACATATTTATGAGTGTCAGCAGGCACACCTCCGTCACATAAACTGGCACAGAACGTGTTCAGTCCTATGGTGGGATGAGCAGATGATTGGATTGAGATGCAGTGAAACTGTGTGCATGCACTACAGAAGTATAAATTGAGGAAAAAGAAAGCTACTTTAATCTTGTTTGGGGACAAAGCCGCCAAACCTTTGAACCACTACTTCAAGTTATGGCTGTCTCTCCTTGCACTTAGACAAGGATTTCAAAAGAACTGTCCAAATATCTGCCTGGAGCCGTTGCCAAGACAGATGTCGAGTGGCAGAATGTGCAGGAGAAGTGATTGGAGGAAAGCAGGTCAGGTGCGTGAGTCAGCCCTTAAGTCAGCTCTTAAAACCTTTGAGAATTCTTTCCCTAATTTTTTGTGTTTGTTTAAATTTCATTCATTTTCTAAACTTTTCACAAGAAAATTGGCGATAAATAATAAAAACCACAGCAGGAGCTTGCTGCAACACATTTGTCAAATATATAATATGTAAAACATCTTTGTGACGCCAGGATTAAGGATTTGTTTGGAAATATAAATAGCCTCTTTTCACTCATCTCAGTTCAGTAAATGTGACCCTCCATCAGCTCTAACCTAATTAAGGCTGATTGAAGTCTATTTAAACTGTGTCAGGGGAGCTGCTGCTGTTCTTTAATAGAGTTCAACAGCCCAGATACTTTTACACACACAGCTGACAGGTTAGAAAAGCAAAACTACTAAACCCTCAGTTTGTACACTGCTGAACCACATGGCAGGGCTCGTACGGGATCTTCTGACTTGTAGATGGTGCTGAGCACTGCTTCATGCTGCATGACCAAATCCAGCAGTAGATAAATAATAATAATTGTGCAAGTCTGTTGATTACTTCACTCTTTCCTCTTTTCCATAATCATTGACTGAATCACTCAATGTGCATTCTCTAATTGGTTATGCTTTTTTCTCAACGGAGTCAAGTCCAGATGATGTTTATGCTCCCAAAGCATGAGTAATAAGGGCGCACGTGCACACACTATTCATTCACATGAATCCGGGCTGTCCAGAGAGTTTAACCAGGTGACAATAGATAGCATAATACAGTTTGTCTATCATCGCCACATGCTGGCCACTCTGTGTGTGTGTGTGTGTGTGTGTGTGTGTGTGCGTGTGTGTGTGTGTGTGTAAATGTTTTGGGACCC